GGAGCCGGGAGTGGAGAGGGCCAGGGAGCTGGGGGCGGGGCCGGGCCGCGCCACAGGCTCCCGCGCCCCCTCCCCCCGGTCACGTGAGCTGGGCTCCTCGCTCTTACCCCCCTCACGTGCCGAGGGTCTCTGTCCCTGGGGATCACGTGGGGAGGGTCTTAAGACCCCACCTCCTGGGGGTCACGTGAGTGGGTGCTGGTGGGACACGTGCGGTGGCCTCTGACCGACCTGGGGGCAGTGCCCTACACATCGACCATGATCTGGCCCCCTACCCTCCACTCACCCCCCTCCTTTTGGTCCTCTGGAATAGGCGAGACTTGTTCCCAACCTGGCCTAGAAACTAGGGATGGGGGACCTATGCTGGAGGAAAGCATGAGAATGTGAGGTCGAGGGATCCCCTGAGCCGGGATTAGAATTGCAGGGGGCAGGATAGGCCCATGGCCAAATACATGCGCCCAGGCCTGTGCTTCATTTCTCTGCAGAACTGAGCAAGTGTGTTGGTATTCTCCCCTATCTCAAGAGGCCTCAGGAACATCTTTCTCTAGGCTGTCTGCCTGTCTCTTTATCTCTGAAATGTTTCTGTTGCTTATCTCTCATTCATACATTCACTCAACAAATATTTATCGAGGCTCTTCTACGTCCCTGTTGGTTTTTTCTCCCTGTCCCCAAATCTCTGCCTTGAACCCTTTCCCTGTCCCTAATATTCTCCTTTGCGTCTCTCGGTCTCCGTCTTTGCTGTCTGTGGGCCTCTCTGGAGCGGCCTCTACAGTTCTCCCTTTCTCCAAATCTCTCTCCGTTCTCATTCTCTTCCCTCTCTCTCGATTCTGGATCCCCCTCTCCCGTTGTGTCTCACTCCTTTTCCCCTTTCAGTGAATCCGATCTCTGTTCATCTCCACTCTCGGTGTGCGTCTCCCTCTCACTTGGTTTCTGTGTGTCTCTCTTTCGGCGGGTCTCTCGCTCTTCTCCGCCGCTGCAGATCAATAAACCTTCGCCGCCGCCGCCACTGCCTCTGTCGCAGGGAGGAGGGGCGGGGATGTGGGGCGCGCTGATTCTCTCCCACCCGACGCCGGCCGGAGAAGCCCGGGGCCCAGTCCCCGGCTGGCAAGACCCAGTCCAGCTGCGCGCGGAGTCAGAGGGCGCCGGAGGGGTGCGGGGGTGTCAGCGTGCACACGCCGCCCCGCGAGCGT